TCCCCCTACCCCCGCGGCCGCGGGCCCCCACTCCCACCCCCACAGCCAGGTGCACCCTTGCCACCTACACTCACAGCTGGGTGCCCGCACTGCCACCCTCCCCCTCACAGCCAGGTGCACACTGCCACCTACACTCACAGCCGGGTGCTGCACTGCCCCCCACAGCCAGTCAGGTCATTCACCCGGGAGGGTGTCCACACCCACACCCACGTGCCCGCACAGCCAGGGCCCACGGTGCAGAGCCCTCCCGCCTCCGGCGTGACTAACGGAGCCCCGGCGCTGTGACCCAGCAGTACGGAAGAGGTGCTGTCCCTGGAGGAGAAAGACCTGAGGGACCGGGAGAGGCGCATGGCCAATAACGCGCGGGAGCGGGTGCGCGTGCGCGATATTAACGAGGCCTTCCGGGAGCTGGGGCGCATGTGCCAGCTGCACCTCAAGTCGGACAAGGCGCAGACCAAGCTGCTCATCCTGCAGCAGGCCGTGCAGGTGATCCTGGGCCTGGAGCAGCAGGTGCGAGGTAGGCGCCGGCCCGCCCAGGACGCGCCCGCCAGGCCCCGCCCCGGCCCCCGCCTGCCTGAAACGGCGAGAGGAGGAGAAGGTGTCGGGCGTGGTCGGAGACCCCCAGATGGTGCTGCCGGCCGCCCACCCAGGCCTGGGCGAGGCCCACAACCCCGCGGGGCACATGTGACAGCACGCCGCGGACCAGGGACCGTCCTCAGCCTCCAGTCCGGGACAGCCACGCCAGGTGCCCGCGCCCCTCCTGTCCTCAGCACCGAGCGTCGCCTGGCCTGGCGGGACCCACGGGGCTGCGCCGGTGACGCTGGCTGGGATCGCCACCCGTCGCCCCAGGGCACGGATCCGCGCCCTGGCCCCGTGGCCTGCGCGGAAGGGGAGCGCTTTTTTTTATTTTTATTTTTTTGTAAAGGAACCCTGAAAGCGAGTAACAGAACACAGAGAAGATGCCTTAATCTCGGGGGGACGGAGACGTCACTCGCTGGGACACCGCGCAAGGGGCTTGCTCCCCGGGAGCCACCAGCAAACCGTGCCTAAGCATACTATTTTTTTTAAGGGAAATAAAAGAACGTTAGTTACAAGATTTCTTTTTTTTAGAGAATTAGCAAGAATTTTTTTTTTTTTTTATCTTTTTTTGCATATGTTTTGTAAGCAAATTTTTTGTATAAAAGTCTCACGTGTCTTGCTATTTTTGCTGCTGTTTCTAGAGCATTGCATTTTGTGATCAGATTATTAAATGTATTCAAAAGACCCACCGGCACCCTGAGGTCCCCCGCCCCGCCGCTCTGAGAGCTCGAGCCGGCTCGCGTTCTGGGTTCAAGGCGTTGGGGTGTCCTCGTATGGAGTGACGGCTTTGCTTCCTGCCCTCAGGACGGGGCAGCCCCGTGGGGACCCTCGCTGCAGAAGCCGCCAAGGACCTGCTGGGGAGGGGGGCACCAGGCGCTTTGCTTCCCTGGGGCCCGCAGCTTTGTCCCTGGGCCCTGCCGCCTCTCGGGCGGGGTTGGGAACTGACCCAAGGTGAGTGGTCAGAGCCGCGAGAGGGCAGGCCTCGTTGCCCCCGGCGCTGCACCCCGGGTTGGCTGGGCCTAGCTGGCTGGGGTCCCGCTGCGGGGCGCCTCCCTTGCCCCCCAGCATAGAGGCCTTACGGACCCCAGTGGACGCCCGCCCTTCCCCAGCGGGAGGCTTCTGGCTTCAGGAAGTTCAGAGCAGCCCCAAGGCCAGCTGGAACCCAGGTGTCCCGAGCCCCACTTCTGTCGGGGCTCCGTCTCCCCTCGCGGAGCCTGCCTCAGTTTCCCTTTCGTGCTGCTCGTCGTGCCCACGGTGCAGGCGGCCCGCGGCGGAGCCCACGGACGCCCGACGGAAGGACCGGTGCGTGCAGCGGGTGGAGCGCAGCCTGGACCCCGACGCTCCGAGTGCCTGCGAAACCTGGTTTCCAGAACATTTCTGAGCGATCTCATACGTGCCTACACAGCCGAAGCGATGGCCTTCGGGGTCGATGTGGAGACCTGTGTAACCACGCTGTAGCAATAAACGTGACGATTCCTGACGCCCTGGGCCGCGCTGTCTTGGTGCTTGCTCGCGCCTGACCCTGTGCCCTCTGGCCAGCTGTCCCGCAGCTGCCGGGCATGGAGGTGTGGTGGGGTCCCCTTGGAACCCGCCCATGTCCCCTGCCTCAGGCCCGGCTCCACCCAGCCACCGGTTTACTCAAAGTCTGGGCATGTCACGCCCTCCCACCCAGAACCTTCGTGGCTCCCTGCAGCCAGGCCCGCCCAGCCACTCCAGGCTCCTGAGTGGCTTCCCCAGCCTCACCCTGTAGGCCACAGGCACGACTTGTGGGGTGGCGGAGGCTCGGGGGGCATCTGGGGCCCTGCCAAGGCGTCCTGTGACCCCAGGAGCTAGGCGGTCAGGGTAGAGAACAGCTGGGCTGGCCCTGTCCGCCCGCGTAGGGTGCCGGACGAAGTCCTTGGTGCTGTGACACCTTCAGACCACAAGCTGGGGCCGGGGACCAGGGCCACCTCCAGCCTGCTTGCCCTGAACCAGCGTCCGCACCGCAAGATACCATCAAAATACTGCTTTTGGGGGCTGGCGGGTGGCCTGATGGTTAAGGGCGCTGGACTCCCACAGTTCGAGTCCCTGACCTGGTGGCTTGCTTTCTCTCTCACACTCTGTCCCTCTGTAGTCAAATTAGAATAAAGTTAAACAGAATTTTTAAAACTTTATTTTTATTTATTCAGTTTTTTTTGAAGAGGTTTATTTTTTTGCTATCGGGCATGTGCTTTCGCCAGAAAGACAGAGACAGAGAGACAGAAAGTGAGAAATCACCCCTCCCGCCCCCAGGAGGGATAGCCATGCTGCAGTCCCTTCTCCATTCTCCTCTCGGGGTCTTGACGCACGCACATGCGCCCGGCATGAGTTTAAGCCACTGGGTCTGGGACTCAAACTGCGGTCAACTTCGTGGGAGTCCAGCAACATAGCCATTACGCTAACTGCTGGTCCCGCATTCATTTATTTTAATTTGACTACAGAGAGAGCAAGGGAAAGTGAGAAAGCAAACCACCGGGTCCAGGATTTGAACTGTGGTTGGCTAAGTGGGCCTTAACCACCATGCCACCTGCTGTTCCCCTAAAATAATTCTTAAAAAAATATACTGCTTTTGTTGGGCCCGTGGGTGCCATGGAAGTTAAGGTGTGGTCTCCCACTTGGTTGACCAGGTTTGAATCCCAGATTGGCAGCTTGCTTTCTCAATTCCCTTCTCTCTCTCTGGTCCAATTAAAAAATAATAGGGGCCGGCAAGTGGCCTGGTAGTTAAAGGTGCTGGACTGCCACATGGCCAGTCGTTCGAGTCCCGGGCCTGGCGGCTTGCATTCTCACTCTTCCTCTCTCGCACTGTCCCTCTCTTGTCAAATTAAAATAAAGAAATAAAAGTTAAATCATTATTTTTTTAAATTCTTTTTTAAAAAATGAACTTTCTCGGGAACCAGCAGTTAGCGTCATGGCTATGTCGCTGGATTCCCACGTGGTCGACCGCGGTTCGTGTCCTGGAACCGGTGGCTTAAAAAAACTCACGCCGGGCGCGTGTGCGTGCGTGCCCAAGATCCCGAGAGGAGAATGGAGGAGAAGGGACTGCGGCGTGACCATCCCCCCTGGGGGGTGATTTCTCGCTTTCTGTCTCTATGTCTCTCTCTGTCTGTCTGGCGAGCGCACACGCCCTACAGTGAAAATCTCTCAAAAAAAAAAAAAGAACTTTCTCTTGGGCCAGTGGGTGGCGTGATGGTTAAGGCGCTAGGCCGCCACACAGTCGATCACGGTTCGAGCCCTGGACCTGGTGACTTGCTTTCTCACTTTTTCTGTCTGTCTCTGGTGAGCACATGTGTTCTGTTGGAGATAATAATACTAATTTAACCCTTTATCTTGGGGACCAGCAGGTGGCGTGGTGGTTAAGGTGCTGGGCAACCCCACATGGCCAACCACGGTTCGAGTCCCGGACCTGGTGGTTTGCTTTCTCACTTTCCCTCTGTGTGTGTGTGTGTGTGTGTGTGTGGTCAAATGAAAATAAAATGAGTAAATAAATAATTCTGTAAAGAAAACCCTTTATCTTTATTCACGATAGAGCCCACGTGCCCGATGCCAGCAGAGCTGGGTGGGAACTGCCACGGCCCTCCCAGGGCTGGCTACAACACGGTCTCCTCCCTCCAGGCCAGCCCGCGTCATTGTCCTCACGGTGGCCACCATCCCACTGTTAGGTTCTCACCAAGGGGCAGAGCCATCTGGGTGCCCTCTGGTCCTGAGCTCCCTGCAGGGGGCCTGGCAGACGCACAGCCCAGCGCAGTGAGCACCTGGCGCCCACGCCGCAGTTTGCAGATGCAGTCTTGCTGCCTTCCCCTTGGTCCTTGGCCAGGGCTAGGAACAGAGCCACCCCTGCGACCCCTGGCAAACTGTCCACTACGCCAGGGCCTCTTCTGGGCTGCGACCTTTCTGTTCATCCGTCGAGGTGCCTGGGGGGTTCAGCAATCCCAGAAGGCTCCCTGGGGAAGGTGGTGCTTGATGAAAGTGGTTGGTGGGGGACACGTCCTCTCTTGCAGGCAGAGGTGGGCACTGGGGTGGGGAGTTCACCCAGCACTCATGATATGCAGGGGCCTGGGGGGCCGGGGGGCCGGAGAGCCACCGGAGCAGCAGAACGCAGCTGGCGAGGACCAGGAGTGCCTAGAGGGGCCAGTGCAAGGCCCAGACCTGGGTCGGCTGCTGGAGACCGTGAGAACGGCCTGGACTGCAAAGGCGCCAGGAAGCTCGCGTGGCTGGGGTCCTGCAGCAACCGCCCCTCGCCCGTCCAGCCTCGGGTCCCCTCACTGTAAATCGGCCCTGGCACATCCCAGGGACACAGAGTCCGCGGCTGGGGGCAGGGCGGGGGCACCGAGATAAGATGCCATGCTCCGCGAGGCTGATCCACGTGGAAAGGCTGTGGGTTCGAGTCCAGAGACCTCCCTGAGTAGCCGGCACGAGTATGCTCGTGACCCTGGGCTGGCTGAGTCCCCGCGGGGCGTTGTATCTCTGTCGCATGTAACAAATGCACTAAAAAATAAAAAAAAAGGTGGGGGCCCCAGGCAGCTGCAGCTTGCCCCGGCGCGCCGTTCCCCAGCCAGAACCCAGGTAAACCCAGCCTCCGCATCACGTGGGCAGAAAGCCCCGCCCGCTCCCGTTCACGTCGATCAAGGTCTTTCGCCCCTTCCCGGAAGTGACCCCCACGGCCGCTGAGTCCCTGCGCGGCGGCGGCCGGGCCCTCTGCGCGTGCGCGCCGCGTTCGCACCTGCGCAGTGCGGGCGCGCGGCCGGACAGGGTGACCTCGCGGGTGCGGACGGAGCCGCGATGCTGAGCAGGTT